TGCATGGCCTTCCGAAAAATATTCTTACAGCGGGGAAACGTGTGTCCATTCGAGGAATGTACAACTATCGCTTCAACGTGCATGAGAGTTTTTCGGAAAAACTTTTTGCGCGAAGGAGAAATAGGAATCATTCCTTCGGGTGGATACAGATTTAAAGATAACCAGTCGCGCAAAGGCACGCAATGGTTAATTTTGAAGGAGCGTGAGTTAGGTCATCGGATAATTCACGCGGGACGCGGACGCGAGTATCGTTTAGCGGAAGGCATGCTCATCGACGGATATTACGAATGCGAGAATGAGGGTGAGACGCGGCGTCACGTCTTGCAATTTCACGGTTGCTTTTTTCACGGATGCCCGTCTTGCTATCCATTAAATCGTGATAAAATGCTCGAAAATTTTAACGACACATTTGACGCACGTTACGAACGAACGGTTGCAACGTCTTGGCGATTACGTCGTCAAGGATATATCCTAACAGAAAAATGGGAGTGCGTTTTCGACGAAGAAATGCGCGAGAATCGAGAGATGCGAGAATTTCTCGAAAAGTACCCCATGGTGCAAATCCCACCTCTCGACCCTCGCGATGCATTTTTCGGCGGACGCACCGACAATATCGCGACTCGATACGAGGTTACGGGCACCGAGAAGATACGGTACGTAGACGTATGTTCTCTGTACTCGTATGTACTCAAGACCGGAGTTTTTCCAATTGGTCACCCGGATATTTATGTGGGCGAGGAATGCGCCGATTTAATTGGAATCGCACCAAATTTTAATTTTACTCCGGTCGAGGGTCTCGTATGTTGCCGAGTACTCCCCCCACGTGATCTCTTCCACCCTGTACTACCGTACCGCGTGCGCGGTAAATTATTATTTGCTCTTTGCCGTACATGTTGCGAATCATTTTCTCGCGACGCGTGCACTCACGACGATCCTGCAGAGCGTGAGTTCGAGGGCACATGGGTGTCCTGCGAATTACGCAAAGCAGTCGAAAAAGGATATCTCGTGACGCGGGTAGACGAAATTTGGCAGTACAAATCTACGCGTTATAACCCCGAAACGCGACAGGGAGGGTTGTTTACCGAATACATCAACACTTTTTTACAACTGAAACAAGAGGCGAGTGGGTGGCCGAGCGAATGCAACGACGATGTTGCTAAAGAATGCTACCTGAGGGAGTATGAAGCAACCGAAGGTATCATTCTCGATAAAAACAACATCGTACGTAATTCCGGCTTACGCTCCGTCGCCAAACTCTGCCTTAATTCGTTTTGGGGGAAATTCGGCCAGTGGAGTAACCTGCCGAATACAGAAATAATAAGATCCCTTCAGCGTTTCGTCGAATTGCTGTCGAGTCCTGAACACGAGATAGTCGGTGTATTGTCCGTTAACGAGGATGCGATATACGTTT